AGCAGGAATGTCCCTGATCCCTTTAGGCTGGGGTTTTCTGTATACCACACGTGGCACTCAGAGCCAGCCTTCTCACCACCTGCCTCTTGGCCAAGTGTCAAAGAGCCATTTGGCATACAGTCCAGAATTCAGTGCATTTCTCTTGAAACTCACTGCCCTTAACTCAAAGAAAGTTGTATTTGTTTCACAAAAACACAGAGTCATTAGTAAAAGAACGTGTGATCTTGTGTTGTAAATAGCATCCACAGTGATTAATGGGTTCCAGTCCCCGCTCTACACAGTAGCTGCCTGGCCTGGGGTAGGTCCCTGGGCCTCCTGGTGCCTCCATTTCCGTCCCTGTAAAACAGGCTGATGGCACCTCCCTTGGGACGGTGATCTCATTTACCTCATCCACAGAGCTGGGACCCGTGCCAAGCACATCTCAAGTAGTTAGTGTGATTTTAAATGATAGATTTAAGTGTAGCTTCGTCTGTTTTTAGGAGTTGGTGATTGAGATGCTGTATTTCAACATTGATCCCTGGAAAGTATGAGGAAAATTCTTGGATTAACAGACTTGCTTTTTTGTCTTTTGAGAATGTGGTATTTGGAATGATCTTTAGCCCCAGGCTTAAAGTTGTTGGCTTTTCGTTTTTCCAGCGACAAATGGAACCTCTTCTGGAAAGGTCGGGAAGGCTCCGTGTGGAGCCGTGAAGAGGTCCATCGCCGACAGCGAAGAATCTGAAGCTTACAAGTCTCTCTTCACGACTCACAGCTCCGCCAAGCGCTCCAAGGAGGAGTCGGCCCACTGGGTCACCCACACGTCCTACTGCTTCTGAAACCCACGCGGGCTCGGCTCGGTTTCCGTGTAGACAGGCGGTGTGGGCCCTGCTAGATCTCTGTTTGCACGGTGTCATCAAGTCGTCCTCCCAGACCTCGGCGCCAGCCTGCGCTCTGCCTGGGAGGGGTGGTGGGGGACTCGCAGAGGGGCCGTGCTGGGCCCCTCCCGCGGCCCCTCCCCCACAGGCTCACGCTCATTTCCACCTGCATTTGCTCTTCTTGCCACGGCCCAGAGGCTGTGTTGGCTGCACTTTTTATGTTTGAAATAATTCAAGACTCCAGATTCCTCTTGGGTGTGTGGTCGGCTCTTTTTGACTAAAATTCTAATGGTTTTGCCACCAACAGGAAATTAAATAGGCCAAGTGAAACTGAACTTCAGAGAGGAGGAGTTGCAAATGCTTTCTGCCTGCAGGGCTGTTGAGGGAGCGTCTGCAGCAGCGGGCAGCCGGGCCTGTGGGTCCAGTGCTATGGGAGGTTTTCTTGTTTTATCGTTTTGAAGGTAGAGGAGATTTAGTTGGGTACCTTATGATTTGGTAAAAAAAATAAAGCAAGTCTGAAGTCTGCCTTTTCTCTCATCTGTTTTTTTTTCTTTCTTCTATCTTCTACTAATGTTTTGGTAAAAAAATTGCAGCCATTGCATTGATAACAGTAGGAGTAATCCCATGTCATATGAATTCCACTTTTCTCTCAGCAGAAGATAGAAAGGGGACTTGTACATAACATCGATGTGTTTTATTTATCCGTAAAGTGTGAAGTCAATAATTAATGAAACTTGCCTGTGAGACCGATAATTAAGAACCAGTGATGTCCAGGTCTCAACACTGCATCCTGGAGGCGGTTATATTGCTGAGATGATTGGCTGGTTATTTCTCCCAGATCCAGGACACTGGTTTCCATCCAAAAGCAGGGAAAGAACCTGGGGGAGGAAGGTCAGATGGTGGGAAGCAGCAGGTAGGGTCACGTCAGAAGCTTGGGAGGGAGGATTCTGGGGAGGGGGCTAGAGTTGAAACCAGCCTGCCCTGTCCCTGTGTTCTCAGCCTCAGCATGCTGGGAGGATGGGCGCTGAGGTTGTTTTGACATTGTGAATGTAGAAGCAATTTAATCAGAAGTATATTAATGTCAGTGAATTTTTGTTGTGGACTTTTCCAGAACAAACCTGAATTAGCCATTTTCTTTCCCTGGTCAATTTTCTATATAGCCCAGTTAAACCATTTTCTTTTCCTTCCTTCCTTCCTTCCT